AGACCCTCGCCCTTCCCGTCTCCTCCTGCCGCCGTGCGGGGTCCGGGCAATCTCGGGATAAAAGACTGAGGGGGTGAGGAAGGGCGCACGGTGAAACCCAAGTCCCCCTCCCACCCCGTCCCCAGAGGCCGCCACCAGGACCCTCTCACCGGGGCCTCCTGCACGGACCCTGGGCCTGGAGAGGCGCGGGCGCTCGCGCGTGTGCCCCGTGCGCGTGTGCCCGGTGCGCGTGTGCCCCGTGCGGGTGTGCCCCATGCGCGTGTGCCCCATGCGTGTGTGCCCCGCCGCGTTTGCCCCGTGTGTGTGTGCCCCCTGCGCGTGTGCCCAGTGTGCGTGTGCCCCATGCATGTGTGCCCCGTGCGCGTGTGCCCGGTGCGCATGTGCCCCCTGCGCATGTGCCCCATGCGTGTGTGCCCCATGCGTGTGTGCCCCGCCGCGTGTGCCCCCTGCACGTACTGCGAGGGCACGCTCTGGGGGCCGCCTCGCATCTCTGACGGGGCCTTCCAGACCCGAGAAAATGCTGATTCTACAGATGCCCATGCGTGTGCCCGAGCACACACGCACGTGCACACGCAGATGCGACCCGAGTACACACACACGTGCGCACATGCGGACGCAGCCCAAGTACACACACACACACACGCACGCACGTGCGCACACGCCCAGACGTGGCCCGAGTACACACACACGTGTGCAGACACAGACGCGGCCCAAGTACACACACGTGCACATGTGCATACACAGACACAGCCCGAGTATACACACATACACGCACATACGCAGACGCAGCCCGAGTACATACACACGTGTGCACATGCAGACACAGCCCTGAGTACACACACGTGTGCACACACAGATTCGGCCCGAGTACACACACACATTTGTGCACACGCAGACACAGCCCCGAGTACACACACACATGTGTGCACACACAGACACGGCCTGAGTACACACAGACACGTGTATACACACAGACTCAGCCTGAGTACACACACACGTGTGCACACGCAGACCCAGCTTTTGCCAGCCACCAACAGAGCCAGAGAGCCTCTGCGGCCCCACCACGCTCCCGCCGGCCCTGGCTGTCGGGCCTGGACGCAGCCGCTGCCCCAGAGCTTCCCCGAGGGGGGCAAGCAGGAGCCGGGCTCCCGGCACACACCAGGCCGGCGGCGCGTCTTAGACGGGCGCCCTGGCCTCCGTGAGTGGGAGGGAAGGGCCCGGAAGGCGGGGGTCTCTGCTCTGGCAGTCGGCCGGGTCGCCCCGGCTGGCCCTGTGCCGCGGCAGCCGCTGCTGTGGGCTTGGGGAGGCTCATCCTCCCTGCAGGATGGAAGTCGCAACGCCAAAATAACGTCCTGCTTCTCGGGCGCGTTTGGGGCTGCTCCTTGGGGGCTGGGCTGCTTCCTGGCACAAGCCGTCAGCACTGGGCACGTGGGATCTTTGGAGTGGCCGATTACAGGGGAAGATTCTGAGAATTTGTGGCTCATGGAAATGAGGAACTGCCTAGCGGGAACCCAGTGACTCCAGTGACCTCATTACTGCTGTGAGAACAGGGCGGTCGTGGTGCCCGGCAGCCACCTGCCAGGCCTAGCCCCGCTGCCACCCCCGCGGCTGGTGGACGGCAGGACCACGTCCCCCCACCCCCACCCCACCCCGGCTTCTAGTCGCGCCCCCTCTGCCCGAGCTCCCCTCTGCCCGCCAGAGTCTTCCGTGGCTCTCGGGCCAAAACCCGCCTTCTTCCTCCCCAGGCTTTCGAGGGGGCTGTTGGCGCTGTCTGGAACCGCGGCCCTCCCATGGCACCCGTCCCCGCCGGGGCACACCCACCTCCCTGGGGAAGCGCCAGGAGCCCAGGGCCTCTGCTTCCCTTTCCAGATCTCCCCCACAGCCACCATTAAACAAGCCACACCGCAGCGGCCACTTCGTGTCTGTCTCCCAACGATGTTTCATTTTCTATTGTTTAAATTTTTTTTTTTTTTTGAGACACATTCTTCACTTTTGTTGCCCAGGCAGAGTGGCGTGCCATGGTGTCAGCCTAGCTCACAGCAACCCAAACTCCTGGCTCAAACGATTTCTCCTGCCTCAGCTTCTGGTAGCTGGGACTACAGGCATGCGCCACATGCCGGTTTGATTTTTATCTATATATTTTAGTGTCCAGTCATTCTTTCGTGCTTTTAGAGACGGGTCCTGCTCTTGCTCAGGCTGGTCTGAGCTGCTGGCTCAAGCGATCCTCCTGCCTCGGCCTCCCAGAGTGCTGGGAATGACAGCGGGAGCCCCGCTGCCCGGCTACGATATTTATCTGACGTGCATCCTATCACTGTGCCCAGCACGGCTGTGCTGGAGGATGTGGAACCATCGCCCCCTACCCGGGGGAGCTCACGTTGTTTGCGTTTCTTTGCCGCTTGCAGACCCGCCCACATGGACGCCTTTCGCCCTTTCTGTGCGTTGTCGTACGGCGCAGTTGTCCTGCACAGGCTGGGCTCCCCAAAAGAACAATCCTAGATCTACGTGGTCGAGAGGAACATCCATTCCATATTGGGAATTTTAAGGGAATGAAGGAAGGCCGTGTGGGTGGCGTGTAGGGCGTGTTTGGGCGCGCCCCGTGAGTGCCCCACGCACGCGGAGGTGCAGAGAAGGTCTGGAGGGCCCGCCACAGCGAGGCAGCAGGCAGGGGCTGTGGATGGCCACGGTAGTTGGCCTTGCTGTATACCGTTGGGGATGCCCGGGTGTGCTGTACGGAGCACGTTATCACTTAGAAATCTGAGAGGCGAGTTCAAGAGCCTATGTCTGTGCTACCTGTGACAGTGACAGCATGGGTCTTCTGCACACAGAGGGAGCCACAGAAGGGGTGATGGGGGCCCTCTAGGCCGGCGAGCCTTCTGCTCACGGGGACAGGAGGGGGGGGGGACCGAGCCCCACGCGAAGCCCCTGCCTTCGCAGAAGGTTACCAGAAACTCACGGGAGCTGGGTTTTAAATAGACATGCAACAGAAGCTCCCCTTTGAGACTCCTTGGGGGAAGAAATCACAGCTGTTTTGTTTTGGAAAAGGGGGGAGGGGAGCAGGGGAGAGGAGGGGAGGGAAAGGAAGGAGTTTTGCATTATAAGAGAAGCTGGTCCACGCAGACTTGGAGACCCCAAACGCTACCTGAGACACCTGTGCCGGCTGTCAAGGAAACTCAGAGAAAGTTTTGATCAGAATAAGATTCTCACCGGGCAGGGGCTCACGCCTGTAATCCTAGCACTTTGGGAGGCCGAGGTCGGCGGATTGCTCAAGGTCAGGAGTTCGAAACCAGCCTGAGCGAGACCCCGTCTCTACCAAAATAGACATAAATTAATTGACCAAAAAAAAATATATACAAAAAATTAGCCGGGCATGGTGGTGCATGCCTGTAGTCCCAGCTACTTGGGAGGCTGGGCAGAGACTCGCTTGAGCCCGGAGATTGAGGTCTGCTGTGGAGCTAGGCTGATGCCACGACCTCACTCTAGCCTGGGGCAACCAGAGTGAGACTCTGTCTCAAAAAAAAAAAAAAGAAATAAGGATTCTCAAAATAAAAAAAAAAGGAATCCTTGTTGCTACCCCATCCCAAATTAATGTAGTGTGGCAGTGAGACTCGCGCTGTTCGGGCTGCACATGTAATGGAAAGATCTTCTAGACATAAACGCCGGGCGGCCCGGCTGGCGGGGGTGACTGAGTTTTGAGCCCCACCGACACAGGGGCTGTGCCTGATTGATGCTTCTCGCCTTCAGGTTGCAAAACTGCTGCAGGCAAGAGCCCGGGAGAGGCTTAATTTATGTCCCACGGAGATTAGCTTGCTTCTGAGAGGGTTTCTGCCCTGGCCGGGTCTCTGCCCTCGCCCAGCCACCGGGCGCCTGCTCAGGCTGCCGTTTGAAGAGCCCGGCGGGCGTGCGGAACCGTGCGTGCGGCAGGGTCAGGAAGGGGGCAGGGCCTTGGCTGGCTTCTCGCCTGCAGGAATCACAGACTGTCACACTAGGAGGGAGATGACTTGGAGACTCTCGGGAGTCCCCGGGGCTCCTGTTTGAGCAAGAAGCCTGGTGTTCGCAGCGGGAAGGGGGCAGGGAGGAGAAACCACCCAGATGCCCGCGGGAGGGTGAACGGGGAATGGCAGAGGACACAGGGTGAGCCACCACGCGGGCTGGTACACAGCCTCTGGAAGGGCGGAGTGAGCCACGTGGACGTAAGGGCCACGTGTGCTGCAGAGTGAGATGGGCGAGATTCAGAGATGTGCTCGGAGCGCATCCACACTGATGGGGCATGGAGACGACAGGTGAGGGACTGTAGGCTCGGCGTGGCTTCGTACAGCCCGTGAGCTAAGGATGCGTTTTTGCATTTTTAAATCAAAAAAAGGAGATTTGTGTGTGTGTGTGTGTATGTGTGTGTGTGTGACACGTGAAAATTATAAGAAATTCAAATTTAGGTGTCCATCACGCAAGTCTCACTGGAGCGTGGCCGCACTCGCCGGCCGCTGTACAGTGGAAACTAGCTATTCCCTGACCCTTCCCGAAGAAGTTGTCGGCCCCCGGCTTAGAGTGCGGTGATGCTTTGCAGAGCCACAGCCCCAGATGCTGTCCTTGCACCCTGCAAGAGTAAGATTCATTGCATCGGTTCCCTCATCCATTCATTCTCTCATTTACTCGTCAGGTGCCTGATGCCCACCTGTGGGCAGGTGCCAGGACCCAGCAGTGAACACACAGAAGCAGCCCCTGCTCTGGTGGCGCTGAGGCTGTGTCTAGATGGTTCTGTTTTCAGTTTGAGTGTTCCCAGTCCTCCCACTTTCCCTCCCAAGCCTCAGGGTCCAGCCCCTTGCACCCTGCCTGCTGCCTCCTCCCCGCCGTGGACTGGCCCCTCCTAAGGAAAGGCACCCACGGGTGGCCTCTGCCTCCTGGGGTCTTGCCAGGAGGCCGACGCCTAGAAGGACTCACCTTAAAAACCGTCACGCTCTGGGCCTGGTTTCAAAGTGCTCAACGTCCAACCTTTGCCCTTTCAGCTCCTGCCCTCCAGAGAGCCCAGAGAGGGAGGCCTCGGGCCCTGAGCCCAGCACGTGGATGGGAGGAGCGGGAGCCAGCTATGGAGAAGGACACAGCTGTGTCTCCGTGTGATCCCTCCTGCACGACGCCAGAGCCACCTCCAGACACACGCTTCAGTGCCTCGGTCTCCGTGCGGGGCCCGGGGAGCGGAGACCCAGCCCAGCCCCAGAGGAAGGCAGCTCTTCGGGGCATCCGAGGACTGGAGTTTGAGCTGCAAACCTGGCCTCAAGGCCTGCCTTTCTCTCCTTTTCATTCGTGCTCGTGCCTAACGCATTATAGGAGACCGCTTTATTTATTTCTAGAGAAACAGCTCTGGGTCCGTCATTGAAGGCCCCTGAAATCTGGACACCGTTTTTTGAGCGCTCAGCGGGTGGCATCCATCACTAACCCGTCAGGAGCTGGGGGAGGAGTGGCCGGGGCCCAGCCCGGGGGCGGAGCTGCAGGGCCGCAGGATGGCGTCCAATGCCACGGCCTCTTCCCTTTGCCTGGACTCCACCGCGTGCAGGGTCACCATCAGCATGGTCCTCACCATCCTCATCCTCATCACCATCGCAGGCAACGTGGTGGTCTGTTTGGCTGTGGGGTTGAACCGCCGGCTCCGCAACCTCACCAACTGCTTCATCGTGTCCCTGGCTGTCACCGACCTGCTCCTGGGCCTGCTGGTGCTGCCCTTCTCCGCCATCCACCAGCTGAGCTGCACGTGGAGCTTCGGGAGGGTCTTCTGCAACATCTACACCAGCCTGGACGTGATGCTGTGCACGGCGTCCATCCTCAACCTCTTCATGATCAGCCTGGACCGGTACTGCGCCGTCATGGACCCCCTGCGCTACCCCGTGCTGGTCACCCCTGTCCGGGTCGCCGTCTCTCTGGTCTTAATCTGGGTCATCTCCATCACCCTGTCCTTCCTGTCTATCCACCTGGGGTGGAACAGCAGGGCGGAGACCAGTAAGAGCAACCACACCACCGCCAAGTGCAAAGTGCAGGTCAACGAGGTGTACGGCTTGGTGGACGGGCTGGTCACCTTCTACCTGCCTCTGCTGGTCATGTGCGTCACTTACTACCGCATCTTCAAGGTGGCCCGGGACCAGGCCAAGAGGATCAACCACATCAGCTCCTGGAAGGCAGCCACCATCAGGGAGCACAAAGCCACGGTGACGCTGGCTGCCGTGATGGGGGCTTTCATCATCTGCTGGTTTCCGTACTTCACCGTGTTCGTGTACCGGGGCCTCAAAGGGGACGACGCCATCAACGAGGTGTTTGAGGCCGTCGTGCTGTGGCTGGGCTACGCCAACTCGGCCCTGAACCCCATCCTGTACGCCGCCCTCAACAGGGACTTCCGCACGGGGTACCGGCAGCTCTTCTGCTGCGGGCTGGCCGGCCGCAACTCCCGAGGAACCTCGCTGAGGTCCAGCAGCTCTCAGCTGTCCAGGAGCCAAAGTCGGGAAGCCAGGTGGCAGGAGGAGAAACCCCTGAAGCTCCAGGTGTGGAGTGGGACGGAAGCCACGGCCACCCAGGGAGCCACAGACAGGTAACCGCCCTCGGTGCCGGAGGGGTCGCTGGGAGGGAGACCCCTGTTCGGGGATGCTGCTTTGGGTCCCGGGAACTCTTCTCCAGCACTTTGCAAACTGTCTGGTTGGATCCTCCCAACGGCCATACCCAAAGGTATGACTGTTGAGCGCTGGTTTTTTTTTTGAGACAGAGTCTCACTTTGTTGCCCAGGCTAGAGTGAGTGCCGTGGCGTCAGCCTCGCTCACAGCAACGTCAATCTCCTGGGCTCAAGCGATCCTCCTGCCTCAGCCTCCCGAGTAGCTGGGACTACAGGCACGTGCCACCGTGCCCGGCTAATTTTTTCTATAAATTTTAGTTGGCCAATTAATTTTCTTTCTATTTATAGTAGAGATGGGGGTCTCACTCTTGCTCAGGCTGGTTTCGAACTCCCGACCTCGGGCCATCCGCCCACCTCGGCCTCCCAGAGTGCTAGGATTACAGGCGTGAGCCACCGCGCTCGGCCCTGTTGAGCTCTGTTTTAGCAGAAGCACGTTAAAGTCCTCAGAGACACTGGTGAGGGCAAACGGGAGCCTGGACAACAGTCTGGGGACCCTAGATGTTGCGGGCCCCCTTTTCCAGCTACGCTTGTCCTTACGACCAGGAGACCAAGTCTGGGGCCTGACTCTGCCACGTAGGAGTGGTGAGTGCCCAACCGGCCCCAGGGCAGCACCCTACGGTAGCCGCGAGCTGCTGCCGCACTGAGGGCCCCCCGGTGTTCCGCGGGAGCAGCAGGACCCGGCACGCTGAAGTCGCTCGGTAAATGCTGCTTTACTCTTCCCAGAAGTCCGGTCTTTGGAGCTGACCCATTCATTCATTCTTTCATTCGTTCCTTCATTTGCAAACATTTACCCAATTCCCACCGTGTGCCAGGAGCCGTGTTGAATGTTGGGGGTGTGGACACAGCATGTTTGTGTCGGTGCTGACGGGTGGTGGTGCGGTTCCGGTCTCAGCTCTGCCCTGTGGCTCGGGCAAGTCCCTGCCCTCCCAGCCCTGGTTTCCTCATCTCCCAGAAAGTTAGCTCTGTCCCGTGTGGCCAGCCTGCTCACCCCGGGGCGGCCTGAAGCCCACGGGAGCCGAGGGGTAAAACGGGCCCCGTGGTCTCCCGGGAGGGCAGGAGTCCCACTGGAGCGCCGGGCGTCGGACTCTGGAAAGGCTCGGGAGGCTCCGCAGCCCCGCCCACGGGGCTCTGGGTTCTGGTCTCCGTGGCGGCTGCGGGCGCAAAGCTGCCTAAGGAGATCCCTGGGCTTCCGGTCCCCTGTAGCCCTGGCGGCCACCACCCTCCCCGGGCGTGGCATGTCCCCTGTAGACTTGGATCCTGTGCCCTCCACTCTTGCACCACTGTCCCTCCGCGCCGAGCTAGGGTCTCAGCCTCCTCCCTGGCCTCCCGGCCTCTGCCTCTCAAATCCATCCCGCCAACGTGCACTTCCGGAGACTTCCACGCCCAGTCCTGTCCTTGCACGGTCCCCCGTTCGAGAGGCAGCCTCCCGTGCAAAGTCCGCTGAGCCCGCAGAGCCTGGAGAAGCGGCCGCACTGGCTCAGTCGCTGGTATCACTTTGGGCTGCTGTGACCTGGGTGAGCCCCCCGGGTCGGCAAGCCGCCCGTTCGCCCCGACCCTCAAGGCGACTCTCTCACTGAGGCTTTAAGCACGGTGGCTGACGCTCACTCAGCGCCCACTGCTCGCCCACCTCACAGTGCCACGCTGTGTCTAGGTGCCGGTCATTCCGCAGGGTGTCTGCTCCCGCCCCTGTGCCGAGGGCCCCACCCCGTGCGGACCCCTCCTTGCTCATGGTCAGGGGCCAGACCGGAATGGTCCAGAGTGGCCTGTGCCCCCCGCGCCCCTGCACCCACAGGAGCCCCAAGAGCCCGTCCTGGAGGGCAGTGCCTCTGGGCTGAGCCTTGAAATGCAAACGAGAAAAGACCCTCGAGGCCAGGGCCCTCCGTTCATTCTCAGCACGAGCTGTGATGCAGGGGCCTGTTTAGTCTCCACGTTTCAGGTGGGAAAACGGAGGCTCAGAGAAGCCACGCCAGTTGCCCCAAGTGGCATCAGCTAGTAAGTCAGCCGGAGCCACCCCCGAGCAGCCACGGAAGCAGCAGCGCCTGTCCCCTGGGCGCTGGGCACACTGCGGGGTGAGCGCCCGGGGCGGGGGCTGGGAAGACACCAGGGCCGGCGGAGCGGGGCTGCCCGCCTGGGTCCCACGCAGGTCCGTGGCTGGGCTCTGTCCTGCAAGCCGAGAGCCGGTGGGGGGGGGGTCTCACGCCAGCGCTGAGGGTGCAGAGGGTGGAGGAACAAGGCACGGCTGGGGGGGTGGTTCCTTGATAAGGGCGGCTCCCCGCCTCTCTGCTGGCTGATAGCGCGTCCGTCTTGCTCTCCGTGTGGGGACGAGACCCAGCGCTGAGTCCGAGCCCTTATCGTCGCCCAGCTTGGGGCCTCAGCCTGAGCCACGAACTCCGAGGGCCGGAGCCAGCCTGATCTTTGGGGTGGGGCTGGAGCCCGGCCAACCAGGGCAGAGGGCACCGAGCTCCCTAGAACTGCAGCGTCAGCAGGGCGTCCCTGCTCACTGACCTCCCGGCCTCTCGTCACCCACAGGACGTAGACAGCCCTGCGTCAGCCCCCCTCCCCCCCTGGGGCTGCCGCGACCGACCACCACCAGCTCACGGCTAAAGACAACACCGCACATTTGCTCTGTTGCAGCTCAGGAGGTCAGAAGTCTGAAAGCAAGGTGTAGGCAGGGCGGGTTCCTTCTGGAGGCTTCCAAGGGGGCACCCCTTCCTTGCCTTTCCTCACTCTTAGGTGCCCCCTGCGCTCCCCGGCTCAGAGCCCTCTCACACGCCGGCCCCTTGCTGCCATGCTCAGGTGGCTGTCTCCTCTCCCCTCCCCCTCCCATAAAGACACTGTGGTTACGTCGAGGGCCCCCGGATAACCCACCCTGCTCTCCCCATCTCGGATTCCTTTAATCACGTCTGCAAACTCCCTTTTGCCCCGTAAGGTAGCATCCTCAGGTGGTTAGAACATGGACACTTTCAGGAGCCACTATTTAGCCTCCCGGAAGCCCCAGCTGCCTGGCCTGGCATTCGGGGCCCCACATGGTTTGGTCCCTGTCCGTCTTCCCCTTTCCACTTCCTGCCACCCCCGCCAGGCCCACTCTCCACCTCCCTCTGCCCCCGGCCGAGACAAACCACTCAGAGTGCGTTCATTCAAGAGCGTTCGTTCGGCAAGGACTTGCTCTCTGCCAGCACCCTCTGGGTAGCAGCGAGCAGAGCAGAGGCCCCCCTTTCTCCTAGAAGCGTTATCCTAGGGCAGCGGCTCTCAAAGTGTGGTCCCCGGCCAGCAGGGGACTCCCGGAAACGGAGCAGGTGGCCCAGACCTCACAGCCTCATGGAGGGGCAGAGCCGGGGTTCGGGCCCTGCCCCCTAGTCTGTCTGACCCCAGAGTCTGGGCTCTCTCCACGATGAAACGCTGCCTGGACTTGAACTTGGCCCTGTGTTTTTTGAGCAACAGCTCAGGGCTAGATGCCAGGTGGGGAAACTGAGGCAGGGGGAGGCAAGTGACCTAAGAAGCGAAGCGAGCTAAGGGGAGGCTGGCAGAGGAGCCCTGTTGTCTCCGGTCCCCGGGTCCAGAGCTCTCTGGGTCCTTTTCCTGCCCGACCCCCTTGTTCTCGGTGACCTCCCTGGGCCGTGAGATCGCATTCCCGAGCACCTGGAGTGTCAGCGTCTCTCCCAGGGCCCTGAGGCTGCTGCACCTGGGCTTCCACTCCCAGGTGCCTGAAGCCTGGAGTCACAGGCTGGGGGTGGGGGGGGTGGGCGGCTTCTTCCCGCTCCCCCCACCGACTGGCGGCTGGAGTCCACTCTCCTTCCCTCTGCAGCCAGAGAGAGGTTTTCAGACGTGGATTTGGATCCTACTCCCCTCTCCTGTTGCTCTGAAAGTGACGCTTTCTTGCCCCGGCCCCCACGCCCTGCACTGCGTGCGGCTCCCACACTGCCCAAACCCCCTGGGGGCCCTCTGGGCCTCTCCCAGGCCACACGGTGTCCTGCTCCACGCCACCCCCCATCAGCCCAGACCCTCTTCTTAGCCCTCTCGGTGCTCGTTAGTTTGATGTCTCCCCCAGACCTGCCCCTGAGGGCGGCTGGACCCTGACCGGGCACCGCCCTGCACAGCAAGGGCAGGGTGGATCTTGGAGCAAGGGCAGGGTAGATCTTGTCCTCCGTCAGAGAACCCTGAGGGCGGTCACAGCTGCGGGAAACCGAGAGCTCAGAGCCTGCTTTCTACCCCGGGCAGCCCTCCCAGCAGGGTGGGGCCTGCAGGGAGGCGGCCAGGCCCCCACCTCTGAGCCGCGTGTCCCGAGAAGAGCTGTCGTAAGAGGGTGCCGGCGTTGGCTCCGTTGTGGGCACGTGAGGGGGGCCCCACCCATCGCGATGTGTGCTCCCCACCACCCGTCGCTGTCTCTCGTCCCAGCCTGTCTTTCTTCCGAGTGAAGTTTTCTATTGAGGCGCGCTTCCATGTGAGCACCTTGCGTCACCCCTGGAAAAAACCTGCCGCCTTCGGCTGTCACCTCCTGCCCCTGCACTGCGCCCCTGCCCCCCTCCACCGGGCCGGCCGCGCCTCTGCTTTCCGTGTCTCTAGGCTCGACTGCGGGACGTCTCACACGCCGTGTGGTCTTTTGTGGTTTCCGTGGCTTAAGTGGCATCTCCCAAGTTCTGTCTGGTGTTTCTTCCATCCCTGGTGTGTGTGTGTGTTCCCCCACGCCCTCTGGTTTTTCTTTCCTGTCCTTGGTCCCATCCAAGGCCCGCTGCGCCTCCACCAGGGGGTCGGGGGCGGCTCTCGGGGCGGTCCGGAGGCCCCCCGTGGAGGCTCCAGGCCTGAGGCCGTGCCGCGGACCTGCTGGCCGAGAGGATGGCGCTGGACGCCAGCCAGGAGCTAACCCTTTCCTCTTCTGTCTCCTCAGGGAGTTTGGGGAGTGAGAGCCCCTCGTGCTCCCGAGA